ACATCGCCATCCTGAATTGCTGCTGGGAAGAGACCCTGGAGGTCGCCACCAAGAAGCGCGAACAGGAGATCAAGGACCACTGCCGGGACTTCACGTGAGCTGCGCAAGAGCACGAACGCCAGGAACAGGCACTGCAGCTCCAATTCGACAAGCTCTCCCGGGAGAACGACGATCTCCGTTCTGCTGTTCGGACGCTGACATCTCGGGGAAGGCTGGCTCCATGAACGTGAGCAAAACCATGAACTTCCTGAATCGGCACAACACTCGGGTTGACGGCAATTGGCCTCGCCTGAAAGCACTTCTGGAATACGCCAAGGACAACAAACTTCCTCCGGACGGCAGGCCACTCAGACTCTGGTGAACGCGGTTGACGACTCCGGTGCGCAGCCTGGGGCTTACGTCTTTATAGATGACGGTGACGACGACCAGGAGGAGAAGGACGACGATGACCCGGGCGCGAAAGAGGGATCCAAGGACGCGCCTCTCGACTTCACCCAAGAATCGTCTGCTCCGTCAACTCCAACGTGATTCAAGTCCCGCTCCACCAAGACATCCCGAGCGCCGAAGGGCGCAGCTGGGCGGCACTTTCAGCTCGGCCCTGAGGCGTGCACTCCAAATGAGCTGAACGCGCTGGACGCGCTGGATCCGCTGACTCCGTATGCACGGTCGGTGGAGGACGCACGGTTTTCGCTGGTGGCGCATGCCGTGATCTGGGACAAGCTTCGCCTGGATATGCCGTGGGCGATGCAGTCTGGGCTCGACTACCTGGACACGTTCGATCTGGTCTGCGGGGACAATGTCGTGCACCCCCGGTTCCACGTTCGGGGCCTACTCGAGCTTCTCGTCCGGATCATGTATTGGCGTAAGCTGGACCGGGCTCCGTCTCACTCGCGGTTTCTGCTGGGCTATCCGACTCACTCACGTCCAGAGTCTTCTCAGCCATCTCTTCCTGGCCGAGGGCGATCGGGTCCGTCTGCGTGCCAATCTCCACCGTAGTAGACGTCTGAATTGCCACATCGCACATGATCCATGGCTGAGCTCGAGCAACTCCCGCCCGCAACGGCCGCGGGCGGGCCTGCACCGGGATCTCCCTGGACGTCTTCTTCTTCCGGTCGACCATCACCTGGATTCTACTCGGCCAGGGATACTCAGCGGGCTTCACGGCCGGAGGTTGGCGAGCCCACTCGAGATCTTCGAGCTCCATCTGCTTCTTTCGTTCTTCCGGAGACGGCGTGTTCTCGTAGATCAGCGTCTGCCACTCCTGGTACTTCCGACTCCCCGGGCGGACAAATCGTCCTGACATGGGGTAACACCCGAACTCCACGATCCGTGCGACAGGGGTCCGCGTGTCGATCCACACCATCTGGTTCGAAATGTTGACGACCTTTACCGATCTCGCCCAGGACTTGGCCGCGTAGTTGATGCAGGTGACCCAGCGGTCTCCGCGGCCCGCCCAGACTACCTCCTTCTGGGGTTGCTGTGGCCGTACTTGATCTCGACAGTGGCATGTTCACCCGGGCGGAGATACAGGTTCTGCTCAGACGTCACCGGGATGTCTAGACCACGATTCTGGCGGAGCGTGGTGTTACACATCAGGACAATCTCTTCGTCCGGCAGTCGGATATGACCTTCTCGTACACACAGCCGGAGTCCGGCCGCATACATGAAATTCATTCCCAGGAGGACTTCCACATCTTCACCTATGTTTGTCACCCAGACATCCAGAACGTAGACAACACGGAATCCAAGCGTGATCTTGACTCTCGAACTCGCAGTGATGTACGTCGGAGCTCCTCCCAGACCGGTCACTTTGACCGGCTCAGGCAACACCCGGAATTTCAGCTTGAGCCTACGCGCACAGTTCAAACTGATCATACTCCCGGAGGCAGCGGTGTCGAGTAGGATTCTCGTCCGGACATCATTCACTGCTCCATGCACCAACGCAACATCGCGACTGTTCTCGAGATCATGATTCGCCCACCATCTGTATCTCTGCCCAGGACCCAACTCCACTTCGGGCGGAACTTCTTGGCCGGACATGTCTGGCCAGGTCCACGCAGGGTCACTTCGCTCAGGGTCAGTAGGATCATCTTGTTTCACAGTAGTCATGCATTGTTGGTTATCGTTGTTCTTCTTTCTCAGCTCTGGTCCGACATACACTAAGACGCACAATCGCTGGGGTTTCGGCCTGGTGCGTACGGGCTTACTCGTTTAACGACTTCCCCTGATTGGCCTCCCCGTCCAGCAATTTCTTGAGGACGTGGGCGGGTAGGTCTTTCAGCATGCCTTGGCGAGCGAGAGTCTTCACGGCTTGGAGTGCTTCAGCATCATCACACAGGCCTTCATGGTATTTGCCACAGGTCGAGCACACTCGAACTCTGCACGCATAGTCCGGGTGTCCGGTCCGGCCGGCCACACTTGTCACACTTGACGTCCTTCCAGCAGTTCTTCTCCTTGTGGCCAAACTTACTGCACTTCTCGCAGAATTCATTCCGGTCGGGATTCTCCGGCCGAGGTGATTGCCAACCCGGCCGAGGCGACTGCCATCCTGGGCGAGAGCCCGGCGGCAGCGGTGGGACCCACCCCAATTCTCAATCGCGCGCAGGATCATCCGGTTGACATCTTGTTCTGTCGGAGGACTCGGGGCAGTGGCGACCTTGGGCGCATCATCTGAGCTTGGCTTGGAGAATCCTCGGCCAGAGTCGCGGGGCTCTGGCGGGTCTTCGTCCGAGCTATCGGCTTCATCTTCAAACCTAACGCGCCCCTCACGTTTACTCCCAGACTCACCACCACTCATGCCGACGTAAGCCCGGCCGGGACGACCCGGCTTGAAACGCCTGGGCGAGATGTAGTCCGCCCGGAAATCCCGGGCGGTGGAGTGTCGTAGCCTCCGTCCAGATCAAAGTCTTCACCCTGCTCGAGGATGTACTCCAGATCATCGACGCTGTGGATCCGTTGGTTGCGCAGACTCGACTTGAGTTGGTGGTCTCGCAGACGCTTGATGAACCGCTTGATGTGCTGCAGACTCCTTCTTGTCCTTCTTATAACGAATGTCCGCCTTGATCGCAGCCTCGTTCAGGCGATAGAAGAACTGCATAGCAGTCTCACCGGACTTCTGCTTCATGGTGAAGTAGCGCTCAGGCTCAGACGTCCGCGACTTCAGGAACTTCCGCCGGAATTCCTTGGCCAACTTATTCCAGTCCTTCTGGGTATGTTTCGACAATTGGGCTCTCCAGCTCCGGACGGGTGCCGACATCTTCATCTTGAGCTCACGCAGCTCGGTCATCTCGGTCCAGCCACCCTGGGCGGATATGTTGAGGAAACGCTCCCACCAGCTCCGGCGGTCTCCCATCGAGGCCGCCTCGTCGAACCGCCGTAGGGTGCTCGAGTTGACCTACGGTCGGAGTGTCAGCAGGGTCTGCCTTTGGCCGGAGCCTCCAGGCAGCTCGACCGAGGTTGAATGATCCTCGGCCGGACTGTCATCCGAGTTGCTTGAGCTGGAGCTTGAGCCGGAGTCCGATCTGGAGCTGGAGCTTGAGCTTGGACTGGAGTTTCTGCTCAGGCGTCGACTGGACTTCCTGGGCGGAGCTCGCTTGCGCTCAGACTTCTTCTTCTTCCCGGGCGGAGTCTCCTGCTTCACCCCGTGCTTGGAGTCCCTGGGCGCACTCGCCTGGGACCGGCGCGGCGCGGCGGCCTTGGGAGCGGCGGCGCTCACGTTTGTCGGCGGCGGCGGCGCTGAGCTTCCGACGTGTCTTGAGTTATTGGCGTCCGGCAGCAGTGTAGCCCGAAGATGTCTCAAGAATTCGGCTGTGTTCTTCGGTTCAGCAGACGTCCGGTCGCCAGCGCCCTTTCCCATGATTGCGTCATCGATTACGTCATCATACTTGGTTGCCGGTTCAGGGTCAGTCCGGGCGGACTAACCCGAGGTTGCCAAATCAGGGTTGGTTGTCGCACGGCCAGATTGAACATAGGGTTGACCAGTGCCCTGGTTACGACTCGTTAGTTGACTGGAGTAGTGACCCACCGTCCGAGGGTCCGAAAGAATAAGTGACGGATATTTGTATTTGTGTATAACTCTGTATTTGTGGTTATCGTCCAGAGTCGTAGGGGCTACGCTTGGAAGTACGTATCGCACCCCGCTCGGAAACCCAACAGCGTGCAACAACTCACCAACTCGGCCGAGCTCCTTGGTTCGAAGACAAACGACCCGATAGGGATTGTCACAAGGAACACACGCCATCTCGGGCGGACATCTTCGGGTGTATCCGCCTGAGAAGTTCTGAGGGACTTTGTTCTTCCGGAATACGCACACTATACACCTGGGCGGAAAAGGCGTTCACCCGCCTCGCCTCAGCTGGTGCGCGTGCCCGGATTCGAACCAGGGATTTCACCGAGAGTTGTATATTTTATTTGGATTAAGAGTGAGATGTCTACTAACCTTCTGACCAAAGTTCCTATGGCTTCGGAAGGAGAAGACATGCGCGACGCTGGACGTGAGAGTCGCGAACGCGGTGACGCGTCGAGGAAGTCACGTCGGTCGAAGGGGTTGCCGCCTGAGGAGCACGCGAGCCTGGACGAGGTCGTCCGGGCTGCTCGGAAGGCAGGCGCTGCATAGCGCAAGGTAGCCCGGGAGGAGAAGGAGTCGGTGAGTCCGGCCGAGCAAGATGTCGAAGACGCGCACCAAGTGTCGACTGACGGCGAGCCTGGCGTAGACGCGACGGCGACTCCGGACGGAGCGTCTGTGGGAGGCGCCGATGTAGATGAGCCCCAGACGGAGGGTCGAGTTTCGGACTCCTCACCGCCCGGCCAAGATGGGGGCCAGCAGCCGGATGCTCGCGCGTCCGCCCGAGAGGAGTCGCTGCCGTCGGTCCCGGAGGAGAAGTCTGGCCAAGACGCGGATGCGTTGCCGCCACCCGAGGAGAAGGCCTGCAGAGTATCAATTGTCGACGGTCCCTGCCCGGGAGAACACTCCGCCCAAGTCGTCGGTGGAGAAGTCGCTGGGTCAAGACGCGGCCAAGGCATACGTCTCGGCACAAGTTTCCCTGTGGGAGCAGGTTCGGTCTGAACACGTGCTCCCGCCGTGCGTGGAGTATACCTGGCCAGATGACCGGCCGGACTCGTTGCCGTGGCTGAACGCTACCCTGGCCACGTCCAAGTACCTGGCAGCCCGCGCGACTCTGGGCAACGATGTTCAGCCGTGTGTGCTGGAACTCCGCCTGGACCGACGCGACCTGGCCACCGCCCAAGATGTCGTTGCCGTCGAGATCTCGGTCGCCGCCTTCACGTCGAGAGAGTGTGTTGCGATCCTGCAGACACTGCTCTTCGAGGCCGGCTTCCAGTTCGACAACTGGTCCCGGTGTGGTTCAAGACGCATGCGTCCAAGATCGCGCCGGACCTCGTTCGGAGTCTGGCCGGAGACATCCAACATCTCCTGACCGTGGAGCTGATCGAGTGGCGAACGTTGTACGTCGGGGCGTCGTTCAAGGTGATCCCAGTTTTGGAAACCAAAGCAAAGTCTGGGCAGACACCTGCCCTGGACTATCATGCGGAGGATCAAGACGGAGATTTATTGATGGACGATTACGAGATCAACCAGCTCGGCCGGAACTACGTTCTGCGCCTGCGCGGGGCGGGCATTCGTTCCGCCAGGAGTTCAAGCGGGTCCTCGGCCGGAGAACCCACGACCAAGCGTCGTCAACACCGGCCACCCCGCGCAGAGCCATCTCTGCCGGACACTCCGCTCGCCTCGCTCCCGTCCGAGCTGCCACCGTCTTCGACGTCCGCCCAGGAAGATTCGCCCGAGGTGCCGGCTTCGGACCCTGTCCCGAGCTTGGTCGGCACCACGGATGAGTCCGCCGGGGGTGCGACGGCCGGGTCGTACGTGTCGAAGAACAGGTCGTCGGCGTCTTCGTCGTCGACGCTGGACTCGGGCGCAGGGGCGCACATGCCGCTCTCCGGTCCGCTGGCGTTGTCCGCCCGGGCCGCCGGAACCGCTGTGTCAGGTGGGGAGCTTGGCTTCTACCTGACGCGGCAGGTGATCCCGGAGCGCAAGGTGGTGCCCGACCAGGACGACGTCGACATGGCGGATGCTGAAGTGGCAGCCAACGTGAGGTCTGCACGGACATCTTCGTCCAGGAATGCGAGGAAGCACCGCGACTCCGGCCGGAGTTCTTCGTCCAGCGAGTCTGACTCGGACAGTGACTGGGGTCGTCGCAGCAGCCGCCACCGACGCTCGTCTAAGCGGTCTTCGCGGAGGCGCTCCCCATCGCGTCGCTCAAGCCGCTCGGGGCACTCGGGGAAGTCCGGCCGGGCTGGGTCGTCGATCTCGTCCGGCGCCGCTGAGGCTGCCGTGAGCGCCCTGCACCAGGTGCAGATGCTCGGCAACAACTTGGAGTCGATGCGCGAAGAGCTGGCGGCGAAGGAGAAGGCCGCCCAGGATGTTGAGGTCCGGCGTGCTCTGACCGAGGCAGAGCGGCGTATCCGCGAAGCCGAGGAGCGCGCTCGCGAGACCGAGAGGCGTTTCCAAGCTCCCACCCAGGAAGCCCCAGGCATGTCGCCCACGGAGGTTGCGGCCGCCATCCAGGCAGCCAGCCTCCAGGCCGTGAGTGCCGAGCGTGAGCGCGTGGTGGCCGCCGCTATGCAGTGGGTGCAGCAGCAGCAGACCGAAGCCGACGCCAAGCGCGAGGTCGAGCGTGCCGCCTGGGCCGCGCAGGCCCAGCGCAACCTGGAAGAGGGCCAAGCGGCGATGAAGCAGGAGCTCAAGAACATGCGTGCGACGTCCAAGAACATGCAAGTGTTCCAGAACGAGCAGATACGCAACCTTCTTGCGACCGTCGCCGGAGTGGTGTATGTCATGGATGTCTGGATCGCGGGCGACTTCAAACGCGCACCACTCCCAAATGTACTGAGAGAAAATAATCAATATCAATACCCTACCACACAATAGGCTTCCGGTCAAGTCCCAGGCGGCGCTATTCACTCCGCCCGAGATGTAATCGATAATATGAAATGCAGGGCCTCGCTCGGGGCGAGAATACGGCTGCAACTAGGAAATGAAATAGGCGGATCACCCTGAGACGCCTGTGCGCCCCAGCCCCCTTACCTAAGTTGGCGTACTTACTTCAGGGAGAGATCCAACCACGGTCGTACCTAGCCGCGGTGCCCTGTCGTCCTGCGCTTCCTGCTCTTCCTGGCGGCTTGCGGGTTTCAGGGGAAAACGAACTCTGTTTATCTTTTACTCTGTGGCTATCTTCCTGCAACTTAGACATGCATTTTGCTTTTCACTTGATTTCACTATACTTCGGTTGACGTCGACATCCCGGCCAAGCCAAAATCCACTGTAGAGTCGTGGGTACAAATCACCTCCTTCAGCGTTCCACGGAATCTTTGCCCATCCTTGGTCGGTCTGCCTGGTCGGTCAAAAACATCTTGACTTGAGTATACCTTGATCGTATCTCCCAGACTTACACCCGACCAGAGTCGCAAAATGAGTTAGCGACTCGGCCAGGGTCGCTGGTAGATATGCATCCTGGGCGAGTCTTCGTCGGGTCCCAGATCCTTGTACTTGTCCCGCAATCCACATTGCCCGGGCGCACCATTTCAGCCAATCAGCATGCGCCCAGACGAAAACCCAATTTTCCATTGTGTCAGTTGTACGGGTGGCTTGCCGGATCTTGAAACCAGCAGTTACGCCACGGCTCGCGGGCATCAAGCTCGGCAATCTCAGAGATGCAGTCGTGGGTCGTAGGGACCCACTCCATCACCTCGAACGAGTAGTGCAAGTAAGAGGGCTCCAAAAGAACCTCGGTCGGGTGCTGGCGGGGCTGCCCGTCGTAGTCGATGCATCCTACCCACAGCTTGTTGACCATCCGATCTCGCAAACGGTAGCTGCGCCGCTTGTAGTACTTGGCCCACTTCTTGCAAAGCTTCACCACCACCGGGTTGCGGTGACCGAGTGTTGCAGCGAGGTTGTCGATGAATGCTTTGACGGCCTTCGCCCGAATCCAATGACGACGCTCCCACACGGCCAGTCCGAGGTCGCCCTTCTCGTTAGAGTGAAAGGAATTGCCCTGGAACTGCCTGCTCAGGCGAACAAGGAGTTGATGCTCGGTAGCCCGTCGAGAAATTGTTCGATTTGGGCGGGTACCCAGTCACGTCGATCAGGCATGGATCCGGGAAGACCCGGCGCAGAACTTGGAAAGGGTGAGCGAGGTTCTCCCACTTGCCGAAGGCCTTGATCCCGTCCGCCGAACACGGAGCAACTAAGTCGTCGTCAAAAATGAGAGGCACGCCAGCGTTCTGGATCAAACTCCAACACTCTTGACCGCCGGGTGACACGAATCCCGGTTCGAGGAACAGTGACGCCAGGTTGTTGAGCTTGCGCAACCCTGCCGCCGCGTCTGAAGCGTCGACCACCGCAGGGGTGATAGAAGCAGGACCAGCCCTCGGTGTGGCAGTCACTGTAGCTGTCACCAACGCGTGAGCGTGAACCGAAGTCGACCGAGTGTAAGGTCGATGGGACAGCGCAGCTGGAGCGGCTTGGGCAGCCACAGGAACCTCGGTCGCCGTAGCCTGAGGCGCCGGAGGTGCTGCAGGACCTGTCCGTGGGGCAGCCGAGGCTCCTTCTTCTTCTTCGTCGTCGGAGCCAAACATCTCTCGCATGAGTGCTGCACGATCCTCCGAGGTCTCCGAGCCATCCGACGACCCTCCTTCTGGCGAGCCCCTGGGAGGCGATGAGGCACCGGGGCCAGCGGCAGTCCTCGTTGGAGGAGCCAATGGCGAGCTTCTCGAGGCAGACGGACCCTCGTTGTCACCAGCAGGAGACTCGGCAGGTGCGTCGCCCGTCGAACCAACGCTGACCGAGGCTTGGGACACGATCGACGCAGCTTCGGGAACCGGGACGGCAGGCGGAGACTCGGTGGTGGTAGCAGGAGCCTCGGAAGCGGAGCCTTCAGCCTCCACTGTACTGACCGACGCTTCCGGGATCTCGCTGGGCTCAAGTTCGTCTTGCAGGACGTCGTCTGGACTTCCAGCACCGCTGAACCCGAAGTCGGGAGACCCCTCGTCCCGTGGAGGCGGAGACCGATCTGGCTGAGGAACTGGAGCAGCGCCCGTCAACCTAGGATATAGCGGCACGTCCGAGTGCTCGTACGGAAGAGGCTGAGCATCCAGTCGGCTAGTCCGGAACGTCGTTGAGGGTCGTGGCGTCGACGGAGGCGGTGCAGGGACCTCACACGATGCTGACCGAGGGCTAGATGACCCAGCGGCCGCTGCAGCTCTGGCGCTCAGGTCGACCGACGGTCTACCGAAACGCTTGGGCGGAGAAGGCTGAGATGCCGTGCCCTCGGCAGAGGCCGACTCGGCTTGCGAATCGCGCTTGCGCTTGAACGTCCCAGTGGACTCAGACGAACCAGCAGACGCCGCCTCCGAAGCCGCGGGAGCAGATGAACCCTCGGTGGGCTCAGCCATCGACACGTCAGCCGTCTTCGATTCTTCCTCTTCCTCGGACGAGCATTCGTCGCGGCGCGGACTCTCGACAGTGACCGTCGGTGGAGACAGCCCGAGGAGATTCCAGTCGATCTCAGCGGCGGAGATGCCAGCCGAGGCCATGACGCGCATGTGGTACGCGAACCTCGGTGCACGAACGTGACTACTGCATGGACAACGCGCCTGGCACCAAATGAAGGCTGCTTCAGTTTCTAACTCACAGTAACAGCGCGCAGGTAGCTGGGCTTCCACGCTGTCTCAACTCAAGTCTGCTTCAACTGAGAGCGCGTGCCTGTGGCTGAATTCCGGGACGCATGGACACCTTGAATCGAGCGGGACGTACCTTCACGAAGGCGGACGGCATCTCCAACCGAACATTGTCACCGACGGGCTTCGGAGTCTGGCGCAGTACAATGACACGGCGAGGAGAACGACGCAGGACAACCCATGCTACGCGACGTGGTCAATTGCCCTGCAGCACCGAAGGGCAATGGCGAGTGTAGCATGCTTCACGGTTGAGTTGTTGTCTTCAAGTAAGGGCCGTTCTTAAGTTCCCGCTTCCACGTCCCGGGACTAAATAACGCGTTCTAATTGGCCAGCGCGTCCGTTGGCAGGAGGGAGGCATCTTTCAAGTCCCAGCAGCTCCCAAGTTTATTTCGCGTCGTTGGGAGCGGGACGAGTGGTGGGAGGCGGGCTTTACTTCGTAAAATGCCCCAAGCAAACAAGTCGACAATAGAGAAGCTAGGTCGTATTGAAGGCGCGATGGCGACGTACCAGACGTGGGGGGCAAACGCTCTGCGGGCAAAATGCCGCCGCCTGAAGGTCTCCCTGCCTCGCTCAACAAGGCGGCGTACTTAGCCGCTCTCAGGGCCTCGCTCATCGTGTCTGAGACAAATTTGCTGGAATTTTAAAGCTATATTATAGGTTATGATCTTTGTGAGGTTGTGTCAAAAACACAAAATTCTCATTGCAGTTCTTATTTTGGGCCTTTGGAACGGTCTTTTCCCGGGATTCGTCCCGGGAACTTAAGAACGGCCCTAAGCGTCGAAACCTAGTGCCGTAACTGTATCACCATGAATCCTTGTGCGAAAGTTTAGCCTCGTTTGATCTTGTTCTAGCTAGTCTATCGCATGCGTCCAAGATGTAGTTATCTAAGTAACTACATGTACATGTAGTTGTTTAGCGCATCAGTCACTAATACTTGGCGAAGCACAGGTGCAATATCTAGAATATCTATAGTCGACAGTGTGGAGTAAATAGTGGAGGCTCCACCATTTACTACACACAGCTCCATCGTGCACTTACAAGCCAGTTCGTGGCCTGGTCTCCCACACTACAATAACCGGAAACGTATACCCTAGCCGTTCAGGTGGTACGACTCGATCTATCATGTCTGGATGCTGTCTGGATGCTGTCTGGATGCTGTCGTGATGTTCTGGATGCTGTCTGGATGTTCTGGATGCTTCGTCGGTATGTCTATCGAAGTATATATTGTACAAACACTAGCAAGATAGACACTAGAATGGTTGAATCAGAGTTGAATTCGAAATGAAAAAATCGTGACTTACGTGTGGAGTATCGCCCTCGCAGAAATGCGATCTCGCACAAACTCGGCGCGTCTGGCTAGCGGTCGCGCCGAGCAAATTCTTCCCGGTTGTTGGAGTAGCGTATCTTCGAAATATAGGCCCAAGTCTTCGCAGGCTTCAGAGTTGGGGGGTTCTTGTGTTGACGCTTGTTCCTTGTCGTAGGGCGTCGAGCCTTGGGCGTGCGGCGTTATCGGGCCGGCGTTTCCTCGGCGTTCCCGTCGGGCGTGCGGCGGTATCAGGCCGGCGTTTCCTGGGGCTTGTGTGGCGTTATCGGGCCTACACGGGGGGTCTTGTGCACGGCGGTTATCAGGCCAGTGCGGTCCTTCGCCTAGGCAGCGCGTTATCGGGCGCCCACCTAAATGGTATACGTTTAACGTGCCTTTGTTCCAGCACGGGTCTGTGGGGGGTGAGCACCCGAACCAGCAAACGACGGGGGGCCGCGATATCGAGGCGGCTCTACTTGCCGGCGCTTGGTGGTTCCCCTGGAACCTCGGAGAAGACGGGAGGTCTTTGTGGTTCAGAGAAATTTCGGGACTGAGTCCTTACCCTATCCTATGCCCTAGCTACTGGCTACTCCGTACTACTGCTTGCTAAGCCTATCGTTCTGTGCCTATCCCTACTTCTGTCGTGCTTGCACTGCCGTCCTTCAACCTGATTTGCGTGGCGCAATCAAGATCTTACCTCGGCGCGTTTTGGTCGGCGGGGGTTAGGGTCGGCGCGTTTTGCAGAACCGGGTGCGCTGGTCGACCCGTCGGATGATTACGCGTCGCACTGGATTCTGGCACCGTGTCTCACGGCCCATCACCCACGCCGACTTTCCCGTCGAGCTCAGCCCTGCGTCGCGCCCATCAATCCGCGTCGCGTTCCATCAGCCGCGTCGAGGTCCATCACTCGCGTCCCGGCGCCTTCTTCCTCCGGCGCCCGGCGCGCCCACTTCTTCCAGGGGGTACTACACCACATTCGTTCCGCTGCCACGCCCGCGCACTCCCCAGGTGGGTGTGTCGTCGCAGAACCTGCCCTGCGCCTTCGCTTCGTCTCGACACCATCGCGTTTTCTGCCATCGCAGTCCGCTTCGCGGTACTCCAAGCTTCATGGCTCGCCGCCACGACGTCGACGTCAACGACATCGACCTGGAGGAAGAAGAGCTTGACACCGACGACCTCGAGGCCGCTGGCTGCGCGGTTTGTGCCCTCGGCGCGCATCGTCCTCGCCTCCCCGTCGCTCCCCAAGTCCAGCTTCCGGCTTCAGGCGCCCCCGTCCACTCGGTGACGGCTCTTGTCGCCGACGCGCACACTCTCCAGCGCGAGAACCAGGAGCTGCGCGCCCAGTACGAACTCGTCTCAGCGCACAATGCGGGCTTGGCTACTCACGCGTCCGTGCTGCATGACCGCAATCTCGCGATCTTGCATCGTGCTCGCGAGGGTTATCGCGCAGGCATGATCCGGTTCGAGCAGGCGCTCCTCTCCCGGGAGCACGCCGAGCGGGACTACGCCGTCCTGGAGGACCGAGTGGCCGACTTCCGCGCTCGTGCTGAGCGCGCCGACGCTGCCGAGGTTCTACTCCGCGCCGAGCGAGGCTCCTCGACAGAGCAATATCGTGATCTTCAAGCTCAGCTCCGGGCGGCACGAGACCAGGTCACTGACTTGACTGCCCAACTCGCGCGCGCTCCTGCTACGCCGCCTCCCTCCATCGTGTCGCTAGCGCAGCTGTTTGCTGCACAAGGCGAGCGCGACGACGCGCGCGCCGAGCGTGACGACCTTCGCGTCGACCTCGCAGCCGCCCAAGCCGCCCTCGCTCCTGTCCAAGCGCGCGTGGCCGCCGCCGAAGCTGAACGAGATCACATGCGGCAGCTCGTGGCCACTGCCGAGCAGCAGCGCGACGCTGCTCTCGCCGAGCGTGACCGCGTGACCCGCGTTCTCATGGTCGTCGAGCAAGAGCGTGACGGGGCCCTCGACATGCGAGATCAAGTGTGTCGCGCCTCCACGGCCCTGAGACGCGAGCGAGACGCTGCTGTCACCAAGAGGGACCGGGCACGTCAAGCCGTGGCCGCCCTTGAGCAGCGGCGAGACGCTGCCGTCGCCGAGAGAGATCAGGCTCGTCAGGCCTTGACCGCTCTGGAGCAGCAGCGCGCCCATGTCGACGAAGATCTCCGCGCGGCCCGTGCGTCGCTTTCTCATAGCCGCATGGAGATCGAGGCGGCCCCGAACCTGAACGTCCCGCTGCAGGACGACCTTCGGCGCGTCAACGCGCTCTTAGTGGCCCACGCCGAGGAGCTCCGCCGCGGCGCGACGCGTATCCACGAGCTGGAGGAGTCAGTGGCTACTGCTACGACTCTCCGTGTGGCCGCCGAGTCCGAGATGGCGCGGGCTCAAGCCGGCGAACTTTGCACCACATCTCGCACGGCGCAGTATCGAGCTGGGTGGCTGTCCATGCAGCGGTCGTCGCAGCAGCGGTCGTCGCAGCAGCGTCGAGGAGCAGGCGGCGCCCAGACCCATCGTCTCAGCGCTCGCGTCGCCGAGCTGCAGGAGGAGCGCGACTTGGCCATCCGAGAGCGCGACGAACGCGCTGTGGCTTGGCGTCGGATGCTTCGAGACGCGCGTCGGGGCCGAGAGCTGGCGCGGCGGGTGCGCGACGAGCTTGCTGATCGTCTCGCCGGCGTCGTAACTCGTGTAGGCGGGCAGATAGACACCGCTGACCTGGCCAGGCGACTCGAAGCCACCTTCACGGCGGAGATCGACGGTACGGTTCCCCTCCCTCCTGCTATTCCGACGTCCGCAGCAGTTCCTGCGGCATCCGCTGTTCCTGTTCCTGCTTCAACTGCGTCGAGCCCTGGTGCCCGGGCGGGCTCGTCGGCTTCGACGGCGGGCTCGACGACTGGCGCTTCCCCTCCAGCAGGTCCTTCGGGCTCCCGTCCCGTTCCGACTTCGTCTGCTGCCTCGTCCTCGTCGGGTGTTCGGCGACCTCGACACAGCGCGTCGAGTCGTTCGGGTTCTCATTCACGCACGTCTCGGCTGTCAGGAGTGGCGTCCGCTACGTCGTCCGGTTCTTCGCCCCTTCGACGTAGTCGGCGGCCCTCTACCGTGGCCGACACTGCGGCATCCGACAACGCCGCTGCGCAGGCCTCATCTGCAGCTACGCTCTCTGTGGCCGCTGCAGCTGCAGCGCGCGCACGAGAGGACGCGTCGCTCTTCGGCTCCGAGTCTTCGGACAGCGAGGACCAAGCGCGGCGAGCTCAGCCCAAGCGTCGCCGGCTGCATAGCCTCGGGTCTCGTTCACAGTCGCCGGCGCGTCCGCCTCCACGTTCGCAGTCACGTTCCCGGACACCCCCGCGCTCCCGTTCTGCTTCGCGTTCGCGCTCACGCTCGGCCCCTCGTTCGCGTTCGCACTCGCCCCCACGCTCGCGCTCGCGTTCTTGCTCGCCCTCCTTGGCGTCGACACGTTCGGCCGGCTCAGCGCGTTCGGCGCACTCGGAGGGGTCGGCGTACTCGGCGGGGTCGGGGCATTCGGTGGGGTTGGTGGCCTCGCGTCACTCTTCTCCTGCACGGCCGACACACTCCTCGTCGAGGGGCCGTGCGGCAGCCGGAGCTGGGCCAGGCCTTGGTCCGGGCGATTCGGGCGACTCCAGTGGCGGCGACTCGTCCGCTTCCTCGTCGTCCCGCGCCTCATCCTCGAGCACCGCCTCCAGCGGCTTGGCGGGGAGTGCTCCGGCGGCACCCTTCTTCGATCCTGTGATTCCGCCTGCCGGAACCCCGTCTGGCTGGCGGCAGCCCCGCTACGCTCCGTGGCCCAAGCGGGTACGACGTCTCCGCCTTCATCTCATCACCGTGCAGGAGTTGCGAACGCTCTTCCTGCCGCCACTCGGCTGGATCATTCCGCGCCGTGCTCCCCCCGAGCCCGCGAACTGGAACCGCGCCCTCGTGACTTTGGCTAACGTCGACGCGCTATAGACGACTCGGCCATTGCGGTACCTCGCTCAAGCCGCTGAGGCGCTTCTCTTCGCGTCCGGCGACGCGGCGTTCCGCCCGTTCCTACGTCGGCTCCGGCACCACATCGAGCACTGGGCTCAAGCGTACTGGGAGTCCACCCACTCTTCGTGCAGGGCGCGGCGTGGAAAAGGTGGCGCACAGCTCGCAACTCGCGTCGCTCACACGCGGGCAATCACCTCAACAGCCTGTTGCAGCTGGTGGTCGGGCTGTTCCAGCAAGGGCTCGCAGACATGGACCTCTTGCTGAACCCGATGATGCTTCACTTCCCGCCCGCGCACTCGTCGATCGGGCGGTGGTATCCAGGCCTCCGACACGCGACATTGCAAGCCGCGCTCGACGACATCGACGCGCAGGAGCCCTTGCGCCGGTTCTATCGGACGCCGCTCACCGTGGCCGAGATGGACGCCAACGTACGCTGCCGAGTGACGCGCGATCACCCCGCCTTCCATGTGCCGCGTCTTGCAGGTAAGTTCGTCCAGCGGGTTTGAGTCCTGGCCCATCGTCGTAGTTCGCCGCCTTTAGTTGTCGTAGCCGTAACTTCAACACGTAGCCTTGATCTTTTCCTTTGCTTCTTTCCACTTCTCCACATCTTTTATGAGACGGCCCTCCGCCGTCCCATCTTCAGCAACAGGCTGGTCCTCCTCACTTCCCTCATCCATCCCTCGCTCCGGCCATTCCCAGAGTCGAGGCTTCCCACCAGTCCTCCCGTCGGCAGCCCCCCCCCCCCCGCCGACTTAGTCACACCCGCGGGCACTCACCCACCAGGCTTCGCCGCCTCTGCGTTCTCGTGCGACTGCATCGCCTCGAACCCGTTGCGTCCCGTGACCTGGCGCAGGAAGTCGTACAGCAACCCGCCGCAATTCAGATCGAGCTCGTCGACCCACGTCGTGTCCGGGTAGCCCTTCCATCTGACTTCGAACTCGCGTCGCGTGCGCCCATACCGGGTAGCCCGCCCCTCGCGCACGTTCACGATCTTCTCGACCTCGAAGACGTCGTCCTCCAGCTCACACGTGTCTACCCAGCTATCCTCCGGCAAGAGCTCCTCGTCGAAGTCGAAGCGCTCCTCGGCCGGCACCGTCAGCTGTGTCGCGGGTCGCGACGGGAATTCCCGGACGGGCTTCAGCTTGGGGATGTGGACGACGGGGTACAGCTGATAGGGCGTACCCGCCGTCTTGAGGCGCACTGCGAACGCGCTGACTAGCTCGGCGACGCGGAAGGGTCCGTGCCACATGTGCGCGAGTTTGCGCGCATACCCCGGCTTCACCCGATCCAGGTACAGCCAAACTTGCGAGCCCGTCGCGATCTCATGTTGCGTCGCGTTTTCAGTTTGTCGACGCGCTCTCTCTTCGACGGCCTCTCGGACTACTTGTGCCCTTGCCACCTTGTAGTGTCGTTGAATACGGAGCCTCCACCGCCTCGCCTCGGCGTCCCGGGTCGACGTGTTCCCGACGGCCAGCGTCGCTTCCAGCGTCGACCGAGGATCCCAGCCGTGCACGAAGAAGAACGGGGTTTCGTTCCTCGTTCGGTCGTGCGACGTGTTTAGCGCGAAGGTAAGACGCTCGGCGTATTCGTCCCAGTCGCGTTGGTCGACGTCCGCGATGTACATCTTGATCGCTCTTGTAACCGTCTGCACCATCCGTTCTGCAGCACCGTTGGCTTGGGACGATAAGCGAGCGTCGCTCGCTGTCTCTGACCCATGAGTTTGCTGAACACCTTGAAGAAGTCGGACATGAAGCCCGGCTCGCGGTCGTGGCAGATAGCCTCGCTCGCGCCGAAGCGCATAAACACCCCCTCCTCGTACGCCTCGGCCACCGTCTGCGCGGTTCGTGACGCGTTCGCTTTGACCACGACGAACCCCGTGAAGAGGGCGACCCAGACTAACAGCTCTGTGTTGCCTTTGTAGGATGCCGGCAACGACGGAATATAGTCCATGGCAATGACCTGGAACGGGTACGTCGCGACTATGTTGCCCGGCGACTCGCCCTGGATGGTCGGCCGACCCTTCCCCGTCTCGCAGTCGGTGCATTCGCCGACGTAGCGCTGGACGCTTCTGAAGATCCCTGGCCAATGGAAGTGGCGCCTCACGCGTTGGTACGTGCGGCCAACACCCTGGTGTCCGCCTTCCAGGCTCGCGTGATAGTGGTGGAGTACATCTTCCCGAAGAGTCTCCGGGATCACCAGCTTCATCATCACATCGCGATCCTCGGCGGATTCACATGTATTATCATTCAGGGAAGTCGGGCTCTCACTAACCACCTTTCGCGACTTCTTGGTCACATATGCATAGACGGAAACAGGTAGCTCGTCTCGTACTGGTTTCCAAGCCAGCGAGCGTCCTCGTTTAACATCTTCTCGGCGGCCGGCGGCAGCATTCCCGCGTGTTTATTCGGATCAAACCACTGGCGTAACTGGTTGAAGAACTCCTGCATCGGGCATTCTCCGGCTTGGTGCACGTCACCGCAGGCCTTGCACACCCTCAAGCATCGCTCCGTCGGGTGCTGGCCACCACACTTCTGACACGTCAACTACTTCCAGCAGTCTCCTTCGGCATGGCGACGTGAACCACAGTGGCGGCACCGCGGGCGGTCGCGTCCCGAGTCGTCGGGATCGAAGTTGCGACGCGCCGGCTCTCCCGGCGGGGTCTGCCCCGCGACGAACAAATTGGCGCGTTCTTCGTCCGCCTCGTCTTGGTCGTACTGGCGATCGTCGCTGTCGCGACTTTCGCGTTCCGAGTCGTACTCGTCCGACGCGACGTGAATCGCATGCACAGCGCGCGCCGGCTGAGTCGGCGGGGTCGGAGCCTTTTGGCGGAACTTGTTCGAGCCGAAGAGAGTTTCTTTCTGGTGAGCCAATCCACGTTGTCGGGCACGCAGCTTCTTCTCCAGCGCCTCGGAGTCGGCGACCTCCATCAGCGTGAGACGCGAGGCGAGTTCGGCCTCCTGCGTGTTCAGCGTCCGGATGAAATGCTCGACGTGTTCGCGCTTCTCTTCAGTCGTGCCTTCGGCGTATGGGATGTTGGCCCTCAAGCCCGCGACGTTGAGCCGATACAAGTAATCCAGAGGGGTCTCGTCGGGGCGCTGAGCCGCATGGTAGTAGCGGCTGGCCATTGACACGCCCTTGCCGCAGTACTGCACACGGAATTGCTCCCTCAGCTCGGTCCATGATTTCTTGACCTTCCTGGGCAACTGAAGATACCATTGGCGCGCAGGGCCGCTCACCAGATCGCTGAACTGCCTGCACACTTCTTCACCCGTCGTCCCGTCGCGTCGCGCGGCGGACTTCAGACGGTTGATCCATAGTCTGGCTTTCTCTTCGCTGGCGTCCCGTCCCGATAACTCTTTTAGCTCGGAAGATGCTGAGAGGCGTACGCGGGCGAGGCCTACACCGCCGGCTGTCGCCGTCGAGACGGCGGCCGCGGTTCTTGGCGCTCTGATGACCAAGTCGAACAGGTCATCGGGGTCCTCGTCCACGTCGCGTCGAGTTCTGGACCTCGTCGAAGAACGCGAACTGACGGACTCCATGGCGACATCCGCTGCCTCCTGGGGGTGAGCCACCGTGGGTGTGGGATTCTCGGGCGGCTTCGGCCCCGTCGAAATTGCGGCTGTGCCGGCGCGTGGGGTGTTCATCACTGTCGTCTGCATCAGCTTGATGATGGATTCTCTCAAGGCCTTGGGAAGCACCTCCTCGGCGGGTTTCGTCACCTCTGTGCGTGCGGGCGCCGCGGATAGCTGCATGACGCGCGGCGGTCGGTTCATGGACATGCGCTTGGGCGACTCGAAACTGCTGTCGGAGTCCACGCTCGATTGGTATCGAGGTGGAGGCGAGGGCGTGGTCATCGAAGTCTGGGCTGGGCCCGCCGAGGGACTCGGCGCGTCTTGGCCCGTCGCGGAACTCGTCGCGTCTTGTTTGACGGATCCGGCGAGAATCGTCAAGGGCTCCTGCACGACGCTAATCGCGCGCAGCCAAGACTTGAGGTCCCAATCGCACAGCCTCTCCATCTCGAAAGCTCCAAACACGAACCCCGAGTCACGCAGCATCTGGAAGAGAGTCGGCGTGGCGTGGGCGACGCTGGTGAGACTATCGAAGTCTGGCGCCACGAAGGGGCCCGTGAAGTTGTTCATCAGCATAGGCTTGAGGAAGACCAAGATTGGGTCATGCTCTAGCAGACGGAAGAGCTCCGTGCGCGCCACGACGTACCGTACCTCCTCGACGGTGTACTGACGTCCCGTGTCCTTGCCTTGCAGGTTGGACAGCGACTCCTCCGCCGAGCCCGGCGCGCGCAGCTTCTTCTTCTTCCTCTTGGGCGACTTGCGCTTCATGGCTGCCTTGGCGGTGGGTTGTTGTTGGCCGTCGGCCTTTGCAGGCTTCCGACCGGTAGGACTGCGACTTGCGTCGCGGCCCTTCGCGGCTCCCGACGAGGGAGCCGCATCGGGAACGGCAAACTGTTCTTCGTAGCCCTCCTGGTCGTCGCTGGCCCCGTGGCCTGTCGTGAAGGTTCCCTCAGAGCTCCACGACGCGACAGGTCTCTCACTGTGCTCTCTTGCGGTCGGCGACCTTCCAGCCGACTGCGCACCTGCCTCCGTTGCCTCTTGGATCGTTAGCCCGTCATTCGAAGTAGTACTCCCGGGTCGCGGCACCATTGTGGAGTAGCGCCCTCGCAGAAATCTCGCGAATGCGATCTCGCACAAACTCGGCGCGTCTGGCTAGCGGTCGCGCCGAGCGAATTCTTCCCGGTTGTTGGAGTAGCGTATCTTCGAAATACAGGCCCAAGTCTTCGCAGGCTTCAGAGTTGGGGGGTTCTTGTGTTGACGCTTGTTCCTTGTCGTAGGGCGTCGAGCCTTGGGCGTGCAGCGTTATCGGGCCGGCGTTTCCTCGGCGTTCCCGTCGGGTGTGCGGCGTTATCAGGCCGGCGTTTCCTGGGGCTTGTGTGGCGTTATCGGGCCTACACGGGGGGTCTTGTGCACGGCGGTTATCAGGCCAGTGCGGTCCTTCGCCTAGGCAGCGCGTTATCGGGCGCCCACCTAAATGGTATACGTTTAACGTGCCTTTGTTCCAGCACGGGTCTGTGGGGGGTGAGCACCCGAACCAGCAAACGACGGGGGGCCGCGATATCGAGGCGGCTCTACTTGCCGGCGCTTGGTGGTTCCCCTGGAACCTCGGAGAAGACGGGAGGTCTTTGTGGTTCAGAGAAATTTCGGGACTGAGTCCTTACCCTATCCTATGCCCTAGCTACTGGCTACTCCGTACTACTGCTTGCTAAGCCTATCGTTCTGTGCCTATCCCTACTTCTGTCGTGCTTGCACTGCCGTCCTTCAACCTGATTTGCGTGGCGCAATCAAGATCTTACCTCGGCGCGTTTTGGTCGGCGGGGGTTAGGGTCGGCGCGTTTTGCAGAACCGGGTGCGCTGGTCGACCCGTCGGATGATTACGCGTCGCACTGGATTCTGGCACCGTGTCTCACGGCCCATCACCCACGCCGACTTTCCCGTCGAGCTCAGCCCTACGTCGCGCCCATCAATCCGCGTCGCGTTCCATCAGCCGCGTCGAGGTCCATCACTCGCGTCCCGGCGCCTTCTTCCTCCGGCGCCCGGCGCGCCCACTTCTTCCGCGGGGTACTACACCACATACGTGAATCCGGCGGAGCTCGTAGCGGTGGGATAAGCCATCAGCGCATTGATTATCTTCATGCCCTATTCACCGAAATGCGGGCGATAGCACTTGCTGGTTTTCGTGACGATGTAGACGTGGACAGTCTGTTCCAACCACGCCAAGGTTCAGATGCCCTCGCAATCCCGGGCTGTAGAACGACAAGGGCAGCAACCAAACAGTTAGCAACGAGCATTTAGATGGATGTAGGGTTTCGTTGCGTACCTCCATTCTATGCTGGCAATGGGCTGAGTCGAGAGGACCCGTGTCTGCGACTTGCGCAGGTTCCACCCGGAGCACAGCTTCGCGTACATGACAGAGACCTTCTAGTGGCACGCGCGCCACCTCAAGACCCAGCACTCCAAAAAAAAGTGCCACTAAAAAGTTGCGTTTTAGATGTACCCAAATTACCATTTTTTGGGTAAGGGTGGTGGCGAATAACGAAAGGGGTGGTGGCGAATAACAACTCCCCGTTCTGGATGCTGTCGGTAACTCCAGGCTCGTCTCATATTTTTCAGGTTGTAACAGCAACAAGTGCCATAATAATAATAAGTTATTGTGATCTGCACCCCGAATGTCGAATCGAATAGTAAATCGCTCAAGGTTTTGACTAATTTAGACTTCGAAGTCTTATTTATTTCGACTGATCTCTTAATTAGATCCCCCGCCTCTATTTTAGACTAGGAATTATCATGGCGATTAGCAAGCAGGCTCATGAGGTTAATCCGATTCGCAACAGATTTGTTTGTAAATACTGAAGTTAGGCGGAACGTCGACGTGGAAGTCGACATTCCGAGCTACTTGAGCTAAATAATTATAGCTCTGTAGGTGCCGATGTAAGCCGCCAGCTTTGTAGCGTGCAATATGGAAGGTGTCAAAGCATTCAGAGGCAGTGCACTAGATAGTCAACTCGGTCGGAGCCTTGTTGACATGGACGACTCCAAACTTCGGGCTATATTAGCCCAAAGGCGTTTCGGTAGCTCTTAGCCGCCGACGCTAAATTAGACAGAATCGAGTCTCGCCAGCTTGTCCAAGCAGAATTACACACTCTTATTTGCTGACCGATTTCGCTTTGTAGCTTGTTTTATACCCTTATGTACGGAGATTCAAATCCGATTAAGATAAATGTGTAAGCTAATAAGGCGTGGATATTCCAACCGCGTTTCACGATAGCATCTATTGTAAGAACCGGCTAAAACGCCCACAGTATCAACCCCTAATTATATATCAATAGCCAAATTAATCATATTATAAATCAGGGTTTAAATCGATTGTGATCCATATGCAGGCCTCCCTAATTGGGGGAAATGATCTCCATTTCCCCCCACCATACCCGAACAGCCTCACGAGCAGTCATCAGACTCGGAACAGTCGCCGACGAAGTTTGAGGCCGGACTTGGAGTTCGCTCGGCCGAGAGCTCGGTCTAACAGCTGATCAACCGCCCTATCGCAGACATGTTTGCGAATGGAGAGTCTGACGAGTCTTTGTTGGTACCGGTGTTTAAAAGATGGTCGTTTAATTTGTTTCGGAGGCGAATCCTTCGATGAATGTCTCGCGACCCTCGACCGACTCCTCGCTAATTTCGAGGAATGTCGGATCAGTGTGAGCTGCACCAAGAGCATTTTCGTGCAACTCAACGTGGACTTCCTGTCCCACGGATTGTTCTCGTGTAATGGGCCTACTTTGACTCACTACTTTAGCTTACACGTGTGCACACGTGTGTGAGGAAGCGTAGCTTAGTTTAAACTAGAGTTAATTATACTCGAACCTCCGAGTATAGATTAATCTAAAAAAAGATCCAAATAATATTTTTGGGTTAAAATGAGAACTGCTATTTTTGTTTTATGCTTTCTGACCTTCTCTAAATGTAATATTCTAAGTTAGGAATCTGCCAACGGCTGGTTGGCAGAATTCCATTGCTATGCATCTCGCTCATAGGCTAAAAGATGCTGCTTTCAGTCAATAGGAATCCTAAGTCTCTATGGACCACCCGTCGTGGTGATCGTAAGTGTATGTAGCCTTTGGTGTGTCTACACCAAGGTCGAGAAAGTCTTTCGAACCTCGAACAGACGTCGTGTCGGTTAGGGTTACAAGTGACTGTAGCCACTTGTGCGTGTAACCCTGTTACACACCCCCCCCCTTCAAGGTTAGATGCGCTGAGTCACGGCACGTCAATCAGGAAATTGACCACTCATCAATTCTTCACGTTGGGAGAAAGAAAACTCGAGCTCATTCCGCAATGAGCTCACCGAAGGAGAAGACCGCCGTTGCAGCAGAGGGGGACAGAGACTATCTCTGTCCCCGAGTACTTCGTGCGTCATGAAGCAAAGCGTGATGCTCTTGCTGCCAAGGCTGCGGCGGGGACAACCCAGCCGGGGATTGTCCTTGAAGGCTCTTCCGTAGTCAACGACGCCGTTGACTACGAAGACGGCGACGTGGAGATGGAGGGGGGCGAGGCCTCTTCAAGCAAGAACAAGGAGTCTATCAACAGCGATAGTCTCGACCCGCATGCCGGGTTGAGACGCCCTCGCGAGGAAGACGACTCGGACGCTTCGAGCTCGAAGCGTTCGCACGGCGAGAGTGAGATTCCGCTCTCTGATGCTGGGGCTTTAAGCTCCCCGCGTGATGTGGCGTCTTCGAGTTCTCCGCGCGCTGCATTAGCAGCGCGCGATCCGTGGATGCAGTCTGCGTCAACCGCGTGGGCAACACCGTGCCTCCAAATGAAATCCCGCTGTACGTATGCAGCGTCATCCACGACGATGCTGTGGCGGAGGAACAGCACTTTGATACGTTAACGAATCAAAGGCGCGATTACTACATCGGGCTCTTCCAAGAGCGCCGGTACTTCTCCAACAAGAAGACTTCTTCTCGCAGCAAAGTGCCTGAGTGGCAGGCACTTTGTCAAAGTTGGAATGCTTTTGTTGAGAACTTCAACAAGAAACCGGCCGCTTACCGCGAGCGGGTTATGCATGCCCGTGAACGCTTCGAGACGTTCTCGACGCGCGGGCGGCTGAACCAGCTCAACAGATCCTCTGTGGACGCTGGTATTCTATGCGCTGTGCCCGAAGGCCAATAGTGCACGTTGTGTCTTCCGGGTGCAGCGCGCTTGAGCGACCGCGACCTAAACGGGTACACGACGATTCGTGTGCCTGCGAGTCTCAAGGATCTCCGTGCCAAGTTCTTGGCACGCGAGGAACGCGACGATCGTGGGACTTCGGGCGCTGCGGGTGACTACAGCGCTCGCACTACCTTCGCGCCGGCAGTGCGTGTTGAGCTTCGTACGCCCTCACCATTTCCGGAACGTCCTGCAGCAGGACGTCCCGCGGCTCCCATGTATCTTGGTGGGGCGGAAACCCTCTCCAACGAATACGATAACGAACCGGCTGCCGATTCGTTTTCGGGATACTATGGTTCACAATACACTCAACAATCCAGCGTGTTGAGCCGCGGGCGTCGCGGATCGGAGGCGGCGGTGGTGGGAACTGAGGCGAGGCGCGTGAACGCCTTTTATCGTCCAGGGTGTATAGCGTACGTCCAATAGGCTTAGACCCGGGAGGGTTTAGCTTACGGACACCCGGAACTTACAATGAATATAAGCTCCGGTTGACGTGTGACCTTGTGCAATCCCTATAGGTGTCGTTTATCTTCGGCGGACCGAGTTTCAACCTTGGGAATCGCAATTGATCAAAGATACAGGAATACAGAGAACTTCCGGGCGCTACTCGTTCCGGGAGTCCTGAATGGGAATGAAATCACGAGCAAAGACCTTCTCCAAAATAACCAATATCAATACAGAGTCTGTACACACAATATGCAGCCTGTCAATTTAGGTCGCACCCCGAATACAGGTAAATTCGGGATGCCCCACGCGCACCACTCTTGAATGTCCAGAAGCGCTTTTAGGCGAGGCCAATTGCCGTCAACCCGAGTGTTATGCCGATTCAGGAAGTTCATGGTTTTGCCCACGTTCATGAAGCCAGCCTTCACCCGAGATGTCAGCGTCCGAACAGCAGAACGGAGATCGCCGTTCTCCCGGGAGAGCTTGTCGAATTGGAGCTGCAGTGCCTGTTCCTGACGTTCGTGCTCTTGCGCAGCTCACTTGAAGTCCCGGCTGTGGTCCTTGATCTCCTGTTCGCGCTTCTTGGTGGCGACCTCCACGGTCTCTTCCCAGCAGCGATGTCGCGCTTGGCCTTCTGCAGTTCGACTACGAAGACCCCGAGTGTGACCCGACAACGAGTTGAGGACCTCAAGCAGCGAGACCAAGTGGTCACTGAAGCTCGTGGAGTCGACGGCAGCCTGGATGGACAACCGACAGCCCGAATGGAGTGCGGTTACCCCGAATGGTGAATGACCCTCCCGAATGGACAACGCCCGGAGTGGCCAAGTGCCGACCATCCCGAATGGACTATGACTGCTCTGAATGGAGAAGCCCCAAGACACTGCAGATATTTGCCAATGGACCAACGCCCAGGAGCGTGCCAAGTCAGCGACCGAGGTGCCAGTTCCGAGCGTGACTTGGTTTCACTATGGAGAGTGAGCCAGTCTGAGTTCGATGGGTCAGCAGTGCAGCAGATCCCCAGGTCAGGCACCCGAGTCCCTCCGACATCAAGTGATGCGTGTGCGCCGCGACGCGACGCCCGGGTATACTGAAGCCAAGAGAACCCGAACAAGTGTATGAATATATGAGCAGAGGAGAGCGCGTGAAGATCCAGTGGCCCTCAAGGTAAGAAGAGGGTGTACCATTCGGAGCCCCGCTGCGAGCGTTGAGTAACGCCTGGTCCAAGCCCCCCGAAAACTTCTCACTACATCATCAAGCCAAGTCAGGTACCCAAACGTATTGCCCATTCGGGTCGGTACACCTGTTTCATTTCCCAGCTGTGGCGTACACTCTCAGTGTGCGCTTGCATTTCATATTCCCTGCATTTTAGGAGGTTGTGGCAATCGCCCCCTAGGACCCGATTGTAGATTGCGTGCGGTAGGAAGGTACCTGTATTGTTCTCCTGACATTCAGGAGTGGTGCGCGTGGGGCATCCCGAATTTACCTGTATTCGGGGTGCGACCTAAATTGACAGGCTGCATATTTTGTGTACAGACTCTGTATTGATATTGGTTATTTTGGAGAAGGTCTTTGCTCGTGATCTCATTCCCATTCAGGACTCCCGGAACGAGTAGCGCCCGTGTGACGAGACTGAGCGAGGTTTACCTCAACCGGTAATCACCTGTCTACTGACCCGCCTGATTCCGCCATTCTGATTGGCCGAGACTGAACCCGGACCCGGCTGTACACCGTGCGACACGATCTGAGGTGGAATTCGGCTGTGTTCCGCGGAGCGGAGTGCGCTCAAGCCTAGGATGAGCCCTTTAGGCCTGGAAGACTGCGTTCAGATGAGAAACCCTGAACGCAGTCGATCCGTCCAGGCCGCCCCCGTCCTTAAGCGGGTTGACACATTGAGGCCGTCGAAAACGCCTGCACGAACGTATCGTGTATGGTGTCCCGCCTCGCCTAGGCCCTGAACGCACATCGAATTCGTGTACCCGGAGCTCAGCCACCCCAGTAAAGTCGCGTACATGGTATCCAGGCCGCTGGCCACCCGGACGAAGTCCTGCCAAGTGCCCCACGACGAAGTGAAGAGTCAACCTACCCTTGGCCGCAAGGCCTTGAGTATGGTTTCAGCCTTGGACGCAAATCGCCTTTGGCCGCAGACCTTGGACGCACTGCGTTCAGGCCTGCTGACTCGGAAACCCGGTTTCAAGGAATGCGGGTTCAAGGGAACCTTGGCCGCATGCGGCCAAGGTTTCTCAAGAGCCAGTCATGCACAAAGACACGGGCACATTGAAGCTGGGCAAGAATCCAGTGGAGAGTGTCTACGTCAACAGTTCCAGTATACTCAAGTCAAGATATTCGCCAGACGCGTGGCGAAGAACACAGAACAACGCTACGAGAGAGATACCTTTACACAAAAACCTAGCGATAGTCTAGCAGATGACAATCAGAGAGTTCGTTTTACCCCCTACTGCGCAAGTCGTCGAGGAATCGTGTCCGCTGTCTTTAAGGACAAGGGCAGTGCGGAGCTCCCCACACACATTCAAATCCAGTTACGTGGGGATCAGTCTGCTCCGGCTGCTGAAGTGATCCACGTATTCCATTTCCCAGTTGGGCCCATTGCGTTGAGGTAAGGGTGGTGTCCCATTTCATGTTAACGATTGATATCTCGGGTGGTTTGGTAGCAGTCGCCCCCGGGGATAGTTTGATTGACTGCGTTTAGGATCGGATTGTATTTGGTCTGTATATTCCCTCATCTGAGGGTGGTGCGCGTGTGAAAGTGCGTTTAATACGTTCAAGGTTGACCAGTACCTTGATCGTAGATTAGTTGACTGGTGTACGACCCACCGCCCAAGGGTCTAAGAATAAGTGGCGGCTGTGTGTTTGTGTATAACTCTGCATTTGTATTGGTTATCTGAAAGTGGTGCGTATTTCTGGGGTTCTTACTTGTGGTAGTAACCCTGATTCTTCACTCACGCTTCAAGCTTCAGCCATTTCGGGAGAAGAGCGTTCAGACAAGTGAACGTCACGCTCAACGAACTCAAGGATTTCAACCCCACAGACAACTCACCTGGTGATCGATCCAGGCTCCCCGAAGATAAACGACACCGATAGGGATTTACAAGGCGCCACGCCACCCTGGCCGCATTTTCCCCCAGAACCTGCGTTCAAGGAAATCTGCGTTCAGGGATTACCTTCCCGAAAAGTATCTCGTATACCCTTTCTGGGCTACCGCTATACACCTGGGCGTAAAAGGTTTCACCGACCTCGTCACAGCTGGTGCGCGTGCCCAGATTTGGGGTCCTCGGATTTCACCGAGTTGTCTGTATGTTGTGAGAATTGAATAGTTGGGCTTCGCTAACTACTGACCAAGTTTCTATGGCGGGAGCACGAAACAAGAAGGATGGAGGGCGCGGTGACGGAGGGCGCGGTGACGGAGGTCGCGGTGAGGCGACGCGTCAGTCGCGCCGAACGCAAGGATTGCCGGCTGAACCGCACAAGGACCTGGATGTCATCAACCGGGAAGCGCGTGCGAGGAGGAAGGCAGAGCGGGATGTGAAGGAGGCTGAAGACAAGGCCAAGTCGACTGAATCCGCTGCTCAAGACGACCAAGTGTCGACGGAGGCGGCTGAAGAAGAAGACCTGCGTTCAAAGTCGAAGGCTGAACGCATCCCGGAAAGGCAGGCTCAGGCGACTGAGTCTGCGAAGGCGTCTGAGGGAGGCGCCGATGTGGGTGAGCCCCCGGCGGCGGATCGAGTTTCGGACTCTCCGCAGCCGGAACCAGAAGAGGAGACTGCCAAGGATGTGCCGGTCAAGGTCAAGGCTGAAGTGATCGAGATCGAGGAGTCGGATGCCGAAGAGCGTTCGGCGCTTGAGGACGCGGAGGTGTCCTCGCGCTCGCCGCAGAGTTCGTCGAACCAAGCTCCGTCATCGTCGCAGAGCCAAGCCCCGAACCCGAAGTGTTGCCGCGAGGCGATGCTTCAAACCCGGTTCCAGCACTTCAAAGTCTGAACGCAGATGTGCGTCCAAGCTTGGGCGTGGGTGCTGAAACGGCTGATACGACTCAGCTTGATGAGACGGCGGCGAAGAACTTTGTGGCACGCCAAGTGTATCGCTGGGAGCAGATGCGTTCAGGACGTGTCGTCCCGCCCTCAGTTGAGTATGGTTGGCCGAATCCGCGGCCAGACTTCTCGGCCTCGCAGGAGGCCACAATGGCTACGTCGGACTACTTGCGACGTCGAATGGCTCTGGAGAATCGAGATGCGGCCTGGATCGGTGAGCTGCGTCCTGAACGCAGAGTGTTGGGCATCGCTCAAGACCTGACCGCAGTTGCCATCCCGCCGAGCATGATGTCTTCGCGTGAGTGTGCGGCAGTGTTGGGGACTCTCCTCTTTGAAGCTGGTTTTGAATTCGTCAACGCGGTTCCAGACTGGTTCATGACGCATGCGTCCAAGATCAACCCTGGATATGTGCGTTCAGTCGTGGAGGAGGTTCAGCAACTCCTGACTATCGAGCTCATCGAGTGGAAGCAGCTCACGGCTGGAGTGTCGTTCAAGGTCGTCCCAGCCTCGGATACAAAACCTGCGTTCAAGGAAGAAAAGACACAAGACGCTCAAGCTGTGAAGGATGATCTATTGATGGATGGCTACGAAGTCGAACTGCTTGGTCAAGCCTTCGTCGCTCAATGTCGGATGGCTGGGATCCCGGCTCTTCGCAGCCCGCGAGGGTCACCGGAGAATGAGGGCGCCTGGATGAGATAACCACCTTCATGAGCGACCACCGCTGCACATTTTGGCTGATTGGTCACTGGTTCTCGATCTACAACTGTAGTGGGCCTACCTTGGCTCACTACTACGGCTTACACGTATGCGCACGTGTATGAGGAAGCGTAGGTTTCTTCTACTTGAGTTAAGTATACACGAGATCCACGAGTATACTTTAAACAACATAAAGACAACAAGTAGCGGGTTTTGGTAAAAGATGAGAACTGCTATTTTTGTTTTAAGTTTCTGATTTCCTCTAAATGTAATATTCTAAACTAGGAATCTGCCAACGGCTGGTTGGCAGGATTCTGCTAACATGCAAGTCACTCATTGGCTAAAAGATGCTGCTTTCAGCCAATAGGAATCCTAAATGTGTATGGACCACCCGTCGTGGTGGTCGTAAATGTATGTAGCCATTGGTGTACCTTACACCAAGGTCGAGGAAGTGTTCAAACCTCTAACAGACATCGCATCTGTTAGATTAACAAGTGACTGGTAGCCACTTGTGCGTGTAACCCCGTTACAACAACCAGTTGGACGCCTATTCGGAGGAGTTCGCCGACACTCGGAAGTCCGAGTGTGACAGCATCCGGGGTCACTACCAGAAATTGCTGGACGCCGCGGTCGACGACGGTCTGGAGCAGTCGTACATCGAGGAGCCCGGGGTCTGGCATTCCCGGCCAAGTGCTGTTCCTGGATCTGGATGGCGCCCTCGCAAAAGAATGCCGAAGGCACGCCGTACTCTCTGAAGGAGCTGCTCGCGCTGGCGGACCAGCAGGAGCCCGCTCGGGTGCAGTGGAACACCTGCTCCTCGGACGAGGAGCGCATTGCTCACGCACCGATCCAGCTGGACCTCCGACTCCTGCCAGCGGCGGACCGACACCGGCGCTACCTGGTCTCCAAGAAGTTCCCGTAGCGCGCTCGGGATCTGCTCTCTGTGTCGAGCTCGAAACTCAGCCCCAATTCTGCATGTCGTAGCGTAACACCCACTAATCCAAAACTCGTTGTCATTTCCGTCTTCCTTGTTCTCATCACCTCAGCGACTCATCTTTCGTCGCATTCACCGTCACACTTAGGTTCATTACAGCGTCAGCACCCTGAAAGTGTGTCGTCACCACTCGATACTCTCCAAAATTCCATTCGTAATCAAAACATGTTCAGTCGTTTCACAACTTGCGGGTACGGTCGGTTGAGCTTTCTCCATTGTCTGGGGTGATCATCTCCGGCTTGCATAGCCTGGAAACGAGCCTTAGCCTTCGCCCCTTGGTTGAACTCGTACAGTAGCGCCCCACAGCTGAGTTGGGACAGCGGGATCTATTCGGGGTCGTCATATCCCTTCCACTTGATCAGGTATAATCGAGTGCGCTTGGATGTTCGTGTCCTCTTGATCCATCTCAAATCCAGGATCTTCTCGACCTCGTATTCATCATTGACATGATCGAGTTCCCAACTGTCTTCGGGCAGTAGCGCGGCGTCGAAATCGTCCTCATCGTCGAGGTCCAGCTCAGTCGTGGGCCGTTTCGGGAAGACCGCCCTCGCTTTGAGACGACTCACATGGACCCATGGGTTAACCTGGTAGCCGGTGTCGGTCCGCCGCTGGCAGGAGTCGGAGGTCCAGCTGGATCGGTGCGTGAGCAATGCGCTCCTCGTCCGAGGAGCAGGTGTTCCACTGCACCCGAGCGGGCTCCTGCTGGTCCGCCAGCGCGAGCAGCTTCTTCAGAGAGTACGGCGTGCCTTCGGCATTCTTGTGCGAGGGCGCCATCCAGATCCAGGAACAGCACTTGGCCGGGAATGCCAGACCCCGGGCTCCTCGATGTACGACTGCTTCAGACCGTCGTCAACCGCGGCGTCCAGCAATTTCTGGTAGTGACCCCGGATGCTGTCACACTCGGACTTCCGAGTGTCGGCGAACTCCTCCGAATAGGCGTCCAACTGGTTGTAGATCGAGAACCAGTGACCAATCAGCCAAAATGTGCAAGCGGTGGTCGCTCATGAAGGTGACTATCTCATCCAGGCGCACCAGAGCTTTCGTGCCAGTTTTCGGGGGCGTATGGCAGACCAGGAACTTGGATCGGTTGTCGAACATCTCGTCCCAGGGCTTGGTGCTCCACAGCTCCTTGAACGGCCCCGAAAGCCAGCGTGCCCGAACGGCGTCGCGCTCCTCAGGCTTGGACAGATTCGGGGTGTAATCCGGGGTTTGCTCGACCGCCTTGGCAGTACCGGGCTGGAACTTCACCAATATCCCGTAATGACGACAAGAAGTGACCCCGCGACCCGGGACCTCGATGATTTGGAGCCCTTCTAGGGTCAGCTCAGCATACTCTTTCCGGGCGAGGGTGAACTGCGTGCACCGTTGCGCTGCGCGCGGACGCTTGGCCGGAGGAGGGGCGACCTCGGAGTCAGGATGCTGCGACCCGGTGGTACTTGAAGTGGTGGAAGACGTGCTGTTGCGACGTTTGGCCTTCCGAGGGGGCGTGGTACGCAAGTCGAGCTTGGTCTTGAATAGCTTGGTCGTCCTGAACGTCTCGTCCTGCGTCTCGTCATCAATTTCGTCGCCCACTTCGGAGTACATCGCCTGCATCACCGTCCAGGCGGACACTTTTCAGAGCGGGCCTCTTGTCCGGCGTGTACGTGAGCTGCTCCAGTCTAACTTCGGACTTCTTGTAGTACCAGCTCGGGACGTAGCTCGTCCAGGGCGTCTGGTCCACCTTACACCAATACATGATCCGGACGAGAAGCTCGAGTAGGCCCCGAACGTGGAACCGGGGGTGCACGACATTGTCCCCGCAGACCAGATCGAACGTGTCCAGGTAGTCGAGCCCAGACTGCATCGCCAACTGCACATCCAGGCGAAGCTTGTCCCAGATCACGGCATGCGCCACCAGCGAAGACCGTGCGTCCTCCACCGACCGTGCATACGGAGTCAGCGGATTCAGCGCGTCCAGCTCATTCGAGGTGCACGCCTCAGGGCGGAGCTGAAAGTGCCGCCCAGCTGCGCCCTTCGGCGGTCGGGATGTCTTGGTGGAGCGGGACCTGAATGACGTTGGAGTTGACGGAGCAGACGATTCTTGGGTGAAGTCGAGAGGCGCGTCCTTGGATCCCTCTTTCGCGCCCGGGTCATCGTCGTCCTTCTCCTCCTGGTCGTCGTCACCGTCATCTGCAAAGACGTAAGCCCCAGGCTGCGCACCGAAGTCGTCGACCGCGTTCTCCAGGATCTGAGTGGCCCAGCCGTCCGGAGGAAGTTTGCTGTCCTTGGCGTATTCAGGAGAACAATACAGGTACCTTCCTACCACACGCAATCTACAATCGGGTCCTAGGGGGCGATTGCCACAACCTCCTAAAACGCAGGGAGTATGAAATGCAAGCGCACACTGAGAGTGTACGCCACAACTGGGAAATGAGACAGGTGTACCGACCCGAATGGGCAATACTTTTGAGTACCTCACTTGGCTTGATGATGTAGTGAGAAGTTTTCGGGGGGCTTGGACCAGGCGTTACTCAACGCTCGCAGCGGGGCTCCGAATGGTACACCCTCTTCTTACCTTGAGGGCCGCATGATCTTCACGCGCTCTCCTCTGCTCATATATTCATACACTTGTTCGGGTTCTCTTGGCTTCAGTATACCCGGGCGTCGCGTCGCGGCGCACACGCATCACTTGATGTCGGAGGGACTCGGGTGCCTGACCTGGGTGAAACCAAGTGACGCTCCAACCGAACGAATCCCCACAAACAGTTGTTGATCACATGTTGGTAGACGAGCGGGGCGTTTTTCAGCCCGAATGGCATCCGTACCCACTGGAAATGTCCGAATGGGCACACAAATGCTGAGATGAGCTTGGCTCGCTCCGTCATCCGGATCGCCCAGAAACCACTCGCCATGTCCAAGTTCATGAACCACATCGCCCTCTCGAAACCAACTAGCAAATCGTCGATCAGAGGCAACGAGTAGCTGGACAGCTGGATGAAACCGTTCACGACTCGATAATCGATGCACATCCGAATGTCGACACCATTTTTCTTCAGGACAATCCCAATTGGGGATACCCATGGCGACTCTGAATGCTCAATCAGTCCAGTTTACAAAAACTTCATAGACCTTCACCATGAGGTGCGGAGCCACCGACCGGGACCGTTGGGCCACCGGCTTTGCGTCTCCGACGTCTAGGTCGCACACCACGCCTCGGGCAGGCGCTGGAGCGGCGTTCCCGTCACCCAGGAAGATCTTCCTGTGGTACTTCAGAATGTCCTTCAGCTTGCCCTCCTGAGCAGGGGTGCTTGCTCCGGGCTCACCCACGTCAGCCTTGTCAATGTCGCACTCCGGGCTGAGACCCGGTAATTCAGGGAGCAGGGCCAACTGGTGCCATCAATTCACTCCCTTCGCGAATGTACACCGCAGGTTCCAGGTCCAACTCCTCAGCGCTCACTCTCATGCAGCGAGCGTATTCCATCTCCAGCTGCCTGAGTGGAGTGCTGTCCATCGCGGACGTAGGCAAATCCACCTCGCATTCTTCCTCAACTTCATCTTCAGGTTCAGAGTCCGGAACTAATTACGGGTTGCTCGCCGAGTATTCGTCCAGGGTGTTGAGCCCGGGATCAGGATCTTCATTTGACTCTTGATCGTCCGGCACATCTGATCCCTCGCCCCGGGGAATCTCCTCGGTTTCTTCCCGAAACGTAACCTTCTTTGTTCCGGTTGAGGTCAAACTCTCTGCCTCAACACTCGGGTGTTTCTGGAGCTGTACCATACGAACTACTCCGTCCTTCTTATCAGACCGGGTCATCACCTTTGTGGGCCACGATTATATGCGATTCGGGACGGCGGCGGGCTCGGCGGCCCAAAGACGTTCCACCCGGCGCCCCTCTTCATCTCGGGCGCGACGTGAGACCGTGTTCTCGTAGATCAACCGTTCCCATTCCCGATACCTGCGCACTCCAGGGCGATCAAAACGCCCCCTACTCGGAAAGTGTCCGTACTCCACAACCCGGGCGACCAGCGTACGGGTGTCGATCCACAGATCTCGGTCCGAGATGTTTACCACGCGAATGACTGTAACCCAGGATCTCGCTCCGTAAATCGCCTCCGTGACCCAGCGGTCTCCGCGCCCGACCCAAACCACATCTCTTTGCGGGTCATAATGAACGCGCACAGTGGCGCTTCCTCCTGGTCGGAGATACAAGTCGTGAGGGGAGATAACCGGGATGTCCATACCGTAGCTCTTCCGGATCGCGTCACCATACATAAAAATCGTCTCTTCATCAGGAAGCATAATGAGTCCTACCCGGATGCGAGCCTGACTCCGGCGCAGTACATGAAATCCATCCCGAGCAACACGTCCACGTCTTCTCCAATGTTCGTGACCCACAAATCCACAACATACACTAGTCGAGGTCCCAGCGTGATCTTCACCTGGGCACTGGAGGAGATGTAAGTCGGGACGCCACCTAATCCGGACACCTTGATCTGCCGATGTGAGCTTAATTTGAGCCTACGCGCAAGGTTCAAACTTATCATGCTCACTGACGCTCCGGTGCCCAGCAGTATCTGCTTCCTGAAGTTCTCCACCGCACCGTGAACCAATGCTACTTTACGCCCTTCATCGTCGGAATCGTGTTCGGCCCACCAACCATACCTCTCACCTGGGCACAGCTTGAACTCAGCCGGCTCTTCAGGCTCCAAGGGTGGTGGCGGTCTCGGATGGTCCGCAATGTGGTGTGGTAATTCCACCAAAATCCTCCTCTACCAAAAGGTATTAGAGACACCAACAACACGCTAACCCGCAAAGGTAAGCGCTTATTGGATCAAAACCTGAAGACCAGGAACGATCCCTTACACCGGGTCGGTTGCAAGCGCCTCTGTGCACCTTAGGTTATCTTCGGTCAACCCAAAAACTTGTACCACTAGCCACGAGCTAAGGCTAGGATACTATGTAGCGCTTTCGCGCAACCCCACTGCAGTCCCTCAGAAAGGAAGGGTACCGGCGTGTTAATCCTTATACAGGGGGACCAAGGTAAAACCTCGGTAGGTAGACTTATACACTCAGGGACACTCTAATCCCACAAATGAGACAACGGCAACAAAAATGTTACTTATCCACCATTTAGAGTTATCGAGATAATCGCCTTAAAAGAGGCCAGGTTCAAAATCGTAACTAAACGAAGTCGTGAGAAAACGAGGAGTTTTGATTTTCAAAAATTTGAAGGGGGTGTATCGGCACGGATACCATTTCGAAAAGCCACTCGGACCACTACCTACAGCCATGCAGACACCACCCACGACGCCGACAGCACCGACCTCGCGCGCTGCAGCGCCAACTGCGCAGCCTGTGCAACCTCCAGCGCTGCCTCTCTCAGCCTCGCCACCGGCCACCTCGGCGCCAAGCCCTCCAGCCACGGCTCCGAGTCCGCCAGCCACGACATCGCCCTCCCAGGCGCTGACTCCACCGGCCACAACGTCCCCCTCCACGGCGCTGACTCTGTCGGCCACGGCACCCCTTGCTGCTCGGCGTCGCGAAGCAGACGAAGAGCCTGATTCTGCCGACGATTCTGTCTGTGGTGTCGATCCCACTGCTACCAGTGAGAGTGAGGTGAACGAGGACAGCAGCGACGACGAGGAACCGCTCACAGCAGAGAGCGCGAGCAGTGAAGCCGAAGATGAAGAGGACATTAGTATCTTTTTGAATGACGCGAGTCCTCGAGCCCGTGTGACTGAGGTGATTCATGCGGACGCGTGTGAGAACGAGTGCGTCAAGGGCAAGGCTCGTGAGTTGGAGTTCTTGCTGTGCTCGCTGGACCAGATGACGAAGCAAGAGCGCACCACGAGCTTGTACACGCTCCTGGCTGTGTTGATGCAGCCCCCCACGGTTGAGCGTAAGAGAGGACGGGGTGACCGTGAGAAGTTTCCGTACATCCTCCCCTAGGTAGGTCATGTGTGCCGACCCACTTTCGCGCTCTGCTATGGAGTAGTCCCTATTACCTTGCATCTCTACAAGATGCGCATCCGAGACGGTAACATGTCGATCAAGGCGCATGGTAACCGGCTCAACACGCATGCAGCTCGTAGAGGCTGTTAGTTCGGCGTCCAAGAGCTCAATCACGGTGCATCTGCCTCGGAAGCTCAGCGTTCAAGTCCTACAAACCTATTCTCACCGAATTGTACAAACGACTTGACGACATCTAGAAGTTCCAGATTTTCACGATGGACGCATCGCAGCCGGGCGTCGTTGTCTGCAAGAAAGGCCCCGAGAGCGAACCTGTAGAGATTAGTTTGAGCCGTCAAATTGACGGGATCTTCACCACGAAGGAGAAGGTGCAGCGAATGATGACGGACCATATCGAGACGCTGTCCCCTCCTGTCCGCAACACCGAGAAAATTGCGCAGATGTACCACAACATCAGGCCCTACGTTCCTGCTGAATTTCAGAGCGATCCCCTCTACGCCAAGCCTAGCGAGCAGGAAGGAGAAGATGCCAAGTCACGGAAACAAGCACAACGTGAGCATCGCGCGGCAATGGCCGTGGCGGCTAAGGCTAACCAAGACCAGCGTGGTATCACGGAGGCTGTTGCGACGAAAAAGAACCGAGCAAAGAAGAGGGCTACTGCAGCAAAGAAGACGCAAAAGAACAAGAAGCACAAAGCTACTGCGGGTCTGCCTGCTGAGCAAGAATAGGCAGCCCAAGGTTGTAGTCGATCATTATGATACTTATGTCCACAGTTCATTCGAAATGTTACTTACATCCAGATATCAAATTTTCTAAAAAAATTCAAAAATATACCCCTGGTGATTTGAAGTGACGGCACAAAAGTGAGATTCTAACACTGTTAGGCTTCGAATTAGCTTAAACGGACAACATTGTCGGATTCGCTGACTAATTTTACACCAGTTCATCAAAAAAAAAATTCCCTTTAGGGGTTGAAGTCGGACATATATTTTTTGACGGTCTCGTTCTCGGTCGTTTCGTCATACCAGAAGCTCGGGAGGGGCTCAAACGAACGCGGAGACATCCCTCTTTCCAATTATGCGCCTAAATCGCGATTCGTACTTAGGTTGATAAGTAACATTTTGTTTGCCGTCGTCTCAAATATATACTGAACGATACTCTAATACCGTTCCTGCCTCTCCAGCCACGCCAACTCTTAGCGCTGCCACGGAAACTCTCGGTCAATGCACGATAAGCTCCCCGACAGGCATCCACACGCTGCCAAGCGTGTCCAGGCACTACAACAAGCTAGCTACACTTACCGAAGTCGGACTTGACCCTTGTTGGCTTTGGGGGAAGACTGTCTTTTTATTACTGAGTTTTCTGAGGCCCTGGGGTCTCGTTCTGGTCATCCTATGATGAGTCCCATGTCCCTATACAAATATCTAGTGTGAACGATTGCAGTAAGGCGATTCCGGACACATCAAATGACGACCGCGGCCACACTAATAAGTGCGGTCGAAGTACGCAACTAAATGCATATGTACCCTAAAGTTGGTACCATGAAGCCTCGTTCGGGGTTCTATTAGGACCCGACGAAGCTTCGGCCACTGCCTGTCACTCTACCGAGGATAATGTCATCACCCAATCAGAAGCAGCCATCTCCGTCTCTCGCTTGACCTCGCCTTGATCGCCCCTTGATTGAACTTGATTGTCGGGCTGGCGGGTCAACAGCGTTGGAAACTGCCACTTTCCAATACCACAACTGCCCCCGCCTCGACGCGAGCCTCCCACGCTGGTGAGCGTCTAGGCGCCCTCAGTTCTTCGACTCCATGGCTCCTCCGTCGCGTGCATTCGCCGACGCGGCTGCCGCTGCTCTTCGGGCTCTCCGGTGCTCCGGACCGGTATGTTCGTCGCTCCTGCTGCTCCTCACTGTCATTCGGATCCTCGTTGTTGACTCCATCTCTTTCTTGATCATCTCAGGGAGCTGTTGATGTCGCCACCGACACTTCGGGTTGTCGTCCAGCACGCCAGGCTCGTTCGGCGGGTGCCGCCGCCCCTATCGCCGCTGGTGCTGTGCCTCCAGCCCCGGTCGCGCCTGCAGGTGACCTTACGCTCCTTCCTGCCGCCTCCGGGACCTCGGTCGACCCTCCACCGGCTCCTCCAAGTAGCCCTGAGGTTGCTGCTGGGGCGACTGAGGCGAGGCGGGTGAACGCCTTTATTGTCCGGGTGTATAGCGCACTATGCCAGACCGAATGAGTTCGGGTTCGGAGTACCAGAGATTGTCCACGCGATAAACAGCCCACGGGACACTGAATGACCCGGGCCTGGAACCGCTTGGACGCACCAAATCGCACTAATGCGGTCCGGTGTTTGGCGTGTGTCCTTGTGTCAACCCCTATAGGTATCGTTTACCTTTGGTGGGCCGGGCTTCACCGAGTTGAGTTGTTGTGATACAGAATAAAGTCTGCTGGGTGTCTTCCTTGGATAAACCACACCGAATGAACAGAAGGTCAGACCGAATGAAAGGGACCACAGTCAGATCCGTAATTCAGAATAACCAACACACAGAAATACAATGCCGAGCTAAACGTCACACAATATACAGCCACCACTTGTTCTTTGAGACCCTTGGGGGGGGGGGTCTATACACCAGTCAACTTCGGAGCCGTCACCCAAGGCACTGGCCAGCCCTGGATGCACACTCACTTACGCGCACCACCCTCACAGAATGAGGGAACAATACAAAATATAATTCAGTCCTATCACACAGTAGTCGATCAATTCGGTCTGACTACCTCAACCACCAAAGAGACACAGTAGGGAATATGAAATGGATGCCCGGTTAGAGCACGAAAATAGAAAATAAAGCTCTCAGAGGTCACTCCGGGGCGCGAAACCCCAGTCACTGCCGACTTTGCCTTGGTACCTTTGAGTCCCCACTAAACGAGTACTCGCTACACCAGTGAGGCCTTGGAAGCGTCCCTAAACGTGCCTAGACCGCGCGCAGGCAGTCTCCCAGAGGGCTCTTGAAGACGTCAAAGTCGGGGTGCTACTTCTGCCCCGAGCACAGAGTCGTCCGCGTGTTCTTCGGCAAATTGGTTTCTGTTTAGATCTTACGTCTGGCTAGCTATCTTCTATCACTTCGCTGACTTTAATGTAGGTTTCACTATGCTTCGCTTGTCTTAAGTATGTTTGTGCTTCTTGGCAGTTCTTCAGTATGCTTGTGTTTCGGTATGCGGAGACTTGTTGACGACGACACTTCTTTGGGTACACTCATCAGATGATGACGGAGGTACCTGGGTACACCGTCTCTTGGTCTTGAAACTGGACCTCCCCCTTGGACGTGCGGCTCATTCGGTACCGCTCGTGGGCCTTGGTGGATTTTGGTCTCATCCGGTCTGGATCGACGCCGCTGTGTGAACACACGCGGCGTGCACTGGACTTGTTCTTGGTGCGTCGACATCTAGTGTGGGCACAGGGGGCGGACCGAATGAACGATCCGGCCCGTCCCCATCCGGTGTGGCACTTCTCCATTCAGTACGCCATCACCGGGTGTACCACGATCCGGTCCGGACAACACGAGGCTTCATCCAGCGGGGTCTTGTGCACGTGCGATCATGTCTGGTGGGGCTGATTCAGTGGGGTGGTCCGACAACTTGACTGAGCCAATGCAGGCAGTGGCCAGGATACATTCGCTGACCACACTTTCGCGCCTTGGAGCTATCCTGCAGTTAGGGAAGTCGGCGGACGGACAGGATGCGTGACTCCGCATCGAATATGAGCGCTCATCCGGTCGGCGCATCTCCAATCCTGTGAGCCGATGCTTGCTGCAAGTGCCGGGTCCCACCAAATCACCACACACATACGTCGCACTCGTCTCTACCCGATCTCCATCTCGTGCAACCAATCACAGCTCCCGAAGGGTCCATGTATCCATCGGGTCGGACACGGGTGCAGACAAAAATCTGTTTCCACATCGTGTCACGACCGAGACTCTCCTGCCGGTAGTTCCCGTTGAAGAGGCTCCCTGCTCGCCGCCGACACCACCGCCAAGCGCCAGCGCTCCACCGTCGCCAACTCCCGCGCCTTCGGTCACGTTGTCAACTCGCGGGGCGTCGGTGGTGGGCGAGGCAGCTGCAGGTGGTCACGCTGGAGCTGGTGCTGGCCCGACCGAGGTTCCTCCGACAGCGGTTGTCTTGGGCGAGGAGCAGATGCTGCAACTCGCTCGTCTCGCCGTGGGCGTCGCCCGTTTGCCTCCAGCTCGAGTCAATCCTGCTCTTGACCGCAACATGCAGGCTGCTACTAACGTCGGTGAGGTGCTGGCCGCGGCTGTGGCCCCTGTACGTCTCCCTCTCGCGGGGTCGGATGCGCTGGTGGATCTCCGTCGTGACAATGATCGCATGCGAGAGGAGCTCGCCGACACCCAACACAAGCTCGACGAGGAGATGCATCTCCGCCAACGGGCAGACTATCTCCTCGTGACAACTAACTCGGACTGCAACCAAGCGCTCGAGAACCTCTAGGACATGCGTACCGAGCTCGCACACGCTAATCAGCAGTTGTTGGAGATGAGCGCGGCCATCTCCCAGCACGGCAACATTACTCGGTCGTTGGAAGGTCTGACGCAGACCGCGGAAGCAGACGCAGCTGCTGCTGCTCGCCGGAACACGCAGATCCATGAGCGTATCAAAGCAAGCCTCGTACCCAGTTCGAAAAGCTTCGGAAGCAGTTGGCCGACCGTGACCGAGCTGACGTCATCCCTGCTCGTATCAGGGCGTTGACGGACGAGAACAACAGCTTGCGACGGCAAACTCTATCCTTCGACGACACTCGGCAGTCCATGGGCTCTTACGGCGTACTCATTGCCACTCGCATCCTCAAGTCTCATCTAACCGGCATTGCTGGCGGCGATGTGCAAACGAGGCAGATTGTCCGCCTTCTTGTCGGCGAACACCTTCACCACCTTGTCACCGACGTTCACGAGAGCAGCGCTGGGTCCTCGCACTCGCATCGCTCGCTGTCTTCTGCCACTTGCGCTGCGCGTCGCTTCCTGCCACTCGCGCCATTCGCAGTGCTCGTTGGTTCCTGCCTTCTAACGCTCCGTTTCTAAACTATTCTTACCAGCCAACCACTGCGGTATACGCTATACGCTTGCCGGACCGACGGCGGCAGTTAGGGCTAGAGAGGTTAGCGGCTGTTTATCAAACCATGTGATTTCTATTCTGTAACAGGAACCACTCTCTATTATTATTAGGGGGGTCGAACCTGGCAAAAACGGTGCTTACTTTTTGGGAGTTGCTCTGCTTACTTTTCGGAAAAGATAGAGCCCATGTTTTTAGTCAGAGGGGGTGAAATGAACCCAAATCTGTCGGGAGCGTCCAAGCAAAATCGACACCAGCGGCATTTGAGAGGCATGGAGAGCCTGCAAACTTCACCCCAGTGTCATGGCTAGTCATGGTATTCCCTCCTCAACGATGGGTCGGTCTTCAGAGGGCTTAAAGCGCCGGCAAAGCGACGTTTGGCAGCTGAAGATCACCTTAGCCCATAGGAATTGCATAGTGTTTGCAGGCCATGACACCCGTCCCACGAGCCGAACATGTTTGGCCATGTTTCAACATGTTTGACCAGGTTTGAGATTTCTTACTTGTTTTTAGTATGACACTTGCCCTAACCCGTTTAGAAAACATGGGCTGTATCAACGGCCCTTACTTTTTGGGAAATTTTCTGCTCATTTCCGAAGTAAGCCACCTCCAGAGGTGGCTTATTTGTGAAATGAGCTGCTTATTTCGAAGTTCAAGTTCGACGTTGCGAAAGCATACTTAGCCCCCGACACCTTCTGGCCTCGGATCGGGGTGCTGCGAGCTCGCCTAGGTGAAGCATAGCTCTCGTCCGCGACGCCATAGCCGCAGGCGGCCGCGGGCATGAACATACAAGGGCTGTCCGTGGGTGTATATGCATTAGGTGTCGTCTCGTAGACAGTGGGGCGCTCTCCAAGCTGTCTGCGAGGGATGAAAGCTAGGTATACGAGACCCGCAGCATGAGTGTTGCGTATGTGCTGCTGTCGCGTGCTTATTTCGCTAGGCTCTCCCCTAGCGGCCGCCAACACCACCTCCGAGAATACTATCGAGGGCGTGCACGCTGGTTGCGCTGCGGATGCTGCTCAAGTGCGCCCGAGACGTAGCCCTCACTACTTCGCTCTCTCTGCTTCGCCACCACGCCGGGAAGGCGTCATCGTCTCTCTCTAAGTGCGATCTCACATTTATTGAGCAATTTCTGACTACCCCCAGTTTTTGCTTATATTTTGGTCATTTTCTTGCTCAGATACACCGTTCACCCTAATTAGTCGTGCCATGACTATTTACCGTGTACGACCTGAAGAGTGGCTCACCCTGTTTTGAAATTCCGTTTTCGGGAAAACTATTCCTATCTACGATAAACTAAATGCATCACGCAATTCGTCTTGCCGAGATCTACTCGAATCCGGTCTCTTTTCTCGGTTTAAGGTGAAAATGAAAATACTTTTCAGAACCGGTGGAATGATTATCAAAGGTGCACGACTAATTAGGTCGCACGACTAATTAGGGTGAACGGTGTATTGGGAATCCCTTGGCTTACTTTTTGGGAGGGATTGACCCCCTATTAGTGTGCTCTCCCGTTAAATACACCTGATTTTGAAATTAGCTCAAAACTACGGACGTAAATTGGGATTTCCCCGTAAACTATACTTGATACCCGGAAGCCCTTTTGTCCAAGGCCGCACCAGAACTTCTACCCGGAAGTCGACGCAATCCGTTTCTCACTTACCCTCGCAGTCCGTACTCGCTCGACCCTCGCAGTCGTCACTCCCGCCGCGCCCCACGCCGTGCCCTCCTCCGCCTCCATGTCGCTCTTCTCGCGCCGGAAGAACCCAGACCAGCTGGTGAAGCTGCTAAAGGACGCGCTGGTGGACCCGTCGGCCCCTGCGAAGCCCTCGAAGGACGGAACGGTGAGGAGTTGATGCCGCCTTGGTACTCGATTGATTCACTACTAGCTAACGCCGACATATGTGGGCCCTTCAGCCTGTGGAAGAAGTGACTAAGCGCCTGAGCGAGATGAAGCTGCTGCTGTACGGAGATGGAGAGCAGGAGGCCAAGCCGGAGAAGTGCGCGCAGCTAGCGGAGCTGCTTATTGGAAGCAGCCTCGTCCCCAAGCTCATCACGGGACTGGACAAGCTGCCTTTCGAGGCACGCAAGCAGTTCGCTCAGGTGTACAACAACCTCATGCGTCGTGACCTCGCGGGCTTCGTGGGCTACGTGGAGCGCAAGCCGGAGATCTTGTCGGCGCTCGTAGCCGGCTACGAGAACCCAGAGGTGGCGCTCAACTGCGGCACCATGCTGCGCGAGGTGAGGACTGTTCTACCATCTTCGAAGAGAAGAAATAATGGCGCCGATAAGCTTACGTATGCTCATCGTTGTGACGGATTTGTGGCAGTCGATTCGCCACGAGATTCTTGCAGGCAAGATCTTGTACTCGCCCGACCTGTGGAAGTTTTTCGATGTGTATGTCCATCTGCCCAACTTCGAGGTCGGGTCGGATGCGTTTGCTACATTCAAGGACCTGTTCACGCGCCACAAGACGCTCGCTGCTGCGTTCTTCACGTCCAACTTTGATGTGGTCTTCGCAAAATACAACTGTCTGCTGATGTCCGAAAACTACGTCACTCGGCGCCAGTCGCTGAAGCTGCTTGGAGAGATCTTGTTGGATCGCTCCAACTTCGACATCATGATGAAGTACATCGGGTACGTTTGTACGAGCGTGTCGGTATGCGAAAATGAGTCCAGGGTACTGAAGTCGTTTGGGTGTGCTCAGGGAGAAGGAGAACCTCAAGATGATGATGAATTTGCTTCGTGACACGAGCGCAAATATCCAGTTCGAGGCCTTCCACGTGTTCAAGGTGTTCGTGGCTAACCCGAAAAAGCCTGAGGCCATCTCGCAGATTCTAGTGAACAACCGCGAAAAGCTTATCGCATACCTGAAAAACTTCCAAAACAGCAAAGGTACGAGTGGGCTCCCGTTATCATGATGGATGTTTCAGAATCTAACAGCCTTTGGTTCGCTGACGTGGTGAGCAGAGGATCCGCAGTTCATTGAGGAGAAGGCGCTGCTTATCAGGACGCTGGAGGGCTTGAAGGTCGGTGAAGCTGCCTCTGAGACGCCCCCAGCCCCGCCATCACAGTGAGGCCACCCTGCTTCTAGGGGACTGGTACGTGTGAATGGCTTTGAGCGCTGCGCGTTGAGAAGGGGTGCAACAAGCACTACGTATTTGATACTTCGGCTGCGATGGAATTAGCTAGGAAAAGGCGCCTCCGTGATTGCTATCGTACACACTAGGGCAGAAGTGAAATGGGGGAGGACAATCGCAATAGACTTTGGGACTGCTCGATGAGTAATGTTGCTCCCCAGGATGAACCGACAAAGCGTCTGACGGCCTGCGTACATGCAGCTCGCCATTAAAAAGCGACAAGACACTAGTCATACGTGGGCTTCTTCAGCTGCTGTACGGCGGAAACGCTGGAAGCCGCGCTGGCGATTCCCTCACTCGCCGGAAGACTCGGAGCTCTGGCGCTCGTGGGCTGCAGCGCGAAATGCCTGCGGCCAGGCAGCGGCCTGGGGCTCGTTCCGGCCGTAGTTGCACCGCGGATTTTTTCGAACGTGCGCGCTCATTGGTCGATGGGGATTGAAGCGGTCCAGAAAATAGAACGTCCAAACGAGTCCGCACTGCAGCGAGCGTTGCACTCATGTAGAGGGTAGAGAGCTTTGGCGCGGAGCTCGGAGTCTGCACCAAATGGACACTGGTGCGCCGCCAGCGAGTCTCCCAAAAACGACATAGTCGTCGTGTTGTGTTAAACAGAGACCGGTGCAGGTGCGGATCGACGCGACCGGGCGGCGTTGCAGTCCAAGAGGCTGCCGCTGCTCCTTGGTCACTGACACGCTTTTGCTAAAATAAACTTTCAGAAATGGCGTGGCGTCTTGCACATTGGTCTCTGAACCTGAGTCGTCACTATCGCGTGAGCGGATTCTCCTGGTAGGAATCCCTGTGCTGCATGGAGAACCTTCTTGCACGTGCGCATGCGCGTTCGTCGTTTCAGTTTGCTGCATTAAGTGCAGTTCATCCTTTGTGCGACCTTGCCTGGTTGAAGCGACAGCACGATATACTCATCAAAGCAGTGTTGTAGGGCCCTGGCGTTTGAAGATCCCACCGCACTTGGATGACATGACGTGTAGGGTGCAGTGGCGCTGGCTAGACTATTAATCATCGTTCTAGCAGCACCAGGCAACAGCGCTGCCATTCGCGGAAGTGGTGGCCGCCACAGTGGATGTGGACACTCTAATGAATGTTTTTACGTGCCATATCTCCGTCTAAAAATTGATAGTATCATTCTTACTTCGTTACAGCCTTCCGCTGACAGTGAGCTTCTCACCCAAACAGCGCGCCCATGTAAGCGAGCTCAAGCTCTGTAAATGGAGAGACCCTAGAGACGAGCACGCACGGATATG